AATATAGGAATTCCTTCGCATGGGACATCACATTTTTTGATGAGATGTGACGCTGACTGAGTCGCTCACCTGTGTTACTGGGGCTTGGTTCTGGGGAGTCTCGTCCATCAAGCAGAGGAGGGCCCTCTTCGCTGCCATTGGGAGGAGGAGGAGTCTGGCAGTTCTGCTCCATCCCCAGTCCATCTCCTCCTCCTTCAGGAGCATCTTCCTTCTTGAAGTATTTCTGCAGCCAGGAAGGAACGATGCTCTTTACTGTGTCTGTCACTCGACTGATGATGCCTGACGGCTGCAGAAAAAAGAAACATGAGAGGAAGTCGTAAAAAAAAGAAGGTTGAAATGAGCGAGAAGCAGACATGAATGCATATCAGCAAAACTAAGTACCACTAACTCAGGCCACTACTTGTAGTACAAGGTCCTCGTCAGAAATTGAAATTCTCATATCAATCAGCAATGGAATAGAGTTGATGCTTTTAAATTAACGCTGCATACTCGAACACTTATGCTACATGAATCTTATGGATTTGTTTTTCAACTACTAAACTGAGGAAAAGAGAAAAGACAAGATGCTGGTGCTATATTTAAGAATATTGAATTTGAAGATAAGCAATTCCCCTTAATTTAAATCGTTATAAAATCACACACAGCAGTTGCAAAACACAGCAATCAACACCGCATTTTATTATTAGAATCAGAAGCTGCACAGACCCACTTGCAATGAGAGGACGTAAGTCCTCCCCAGTGAAAAGCAAAAAAAAAGCCAAGTATGACAGCGTGCAACTGGGTCAGGCGCTGTGTTTGCTTCTGTGAAGCGAAGAGCCAGTGACGCTGGTCTGCTCTGTACTGAGGTCGGGATGAAATCCAGTCAATACGGATTAATCTTGTCTCTTACGGAACATATCAAAAGTAGCCTAGTTTCAAGGTACTCGTTATCTAAAAAGTCCATAAATGCATCGGCCTATTAAAGGGAAGGGTGTATTGGAGAGCATTGAACAAGACAATGTTAAACTTTTGACTGGTTTATCTAGTTTTTTTTTTATTCTCAAAATGTATTTCTTTAGCTCTTGGATTTTTAGAGTTGGACCTCTTCATATGTTTGCTATGCTGTCCAATGTTCTTGTGACTAGAGAGCAGAAAGATAAGGCAGAGTTGAGTGAAGGGGTTAGCCAGCGGTTGTATCACTACATGTTCACACTGTATAACCCATGGAAGCTTTCACCTCCTGATAAGAGCCATATGTGGCCCCAAGTTTGCTGCTTATCTCGAAAAATACACTGCACTTTAACCTTAGTCCACACAAGTTCAACTAGTCAAAAGGCAAGTGTATAATCCACCCCAGTACTAGTTTACGTAGCTCTACTATAGCTATTGTTGTAAGGATTTAAGGGAGCCACATTTCTGCTGTGGGCAGGGTCATGTGACTCAAGGATATGTTGTCATTACCAGTGCTCTCTCTGAAAGCTATCATGTAAAACTGCCGGGCCAGTAAAAGCTTAGTCGATCAGTGCATACATGTTTTTACAATAACCAATGTGATGCATCTTCACACCTCAAAATCATAAACCTTAAAGTCAGCTTCATTGTCACATATTGGCCGTCACGTGATGAGGTAATTATTGATTAGAAAGACTCCATTTTCTCAGTAAGCAAACCCACACCTTGCTACATGAATCAAGACAATGGTGGCGAAAACAATGCATGTCTTATCATGCTCCTGCTTTTTAACCAGTGTTTTGTGAACTGAATACAGCAACCTCGCATGGATAACTGTTAAATGTTTTTGGCTGAATTTAGCCCAGACCTTTTCTTATGAACTTCAGACACTTCCACATTATTTGCCATTTACACAAATGTATGAGCATTAGCAGATGTAATCATGACTCCAATATGTCATGATGGAGACGCTGTACAACTCATTTATTCAAAAATAAATATTACAAGTTCATGTTTGTCTGTTTGTTGTTGGCATAAATGCATTAGTTCAGTCAAATCCCTAATAATAGAATATTTAGATTGTTGATAAAGAGGGATATTGTGTCAGGACTTGGTTGATGAAACGACAGGCCAAGTCAGCAACCTATGTTTGACATTACATGACTGTGATGTGTATAGATGCTGAAGCAATTTCACTAAGCCCTGTATTCCCTAAGTTGACAATTAATTAGGTCTACTTCAACTCTGCACAAATTATTGTTCACAATTTAACAGTTTTGATGAACTTTATATTTATTTAGCAAGCTGCCGTTTTCTGTGCATTTTTGCTAAGAACTGTTTCTAATTGTATATGGATTAAGGTAGAGCAAGAACTGTGACATGATGTTACCTAGATTCCAAATCTAACACTGCCAATAAATACAATAAATGAAAATCTTGAAATGGTCAAATTGATTAGATTAAACCAATATATAAACCCCCATTTGCTTTCTATAGTTTATATAATCGACATAGTTCATTATGAATATATATTGTATGTGATGGGCTAACATGTATTTAATACAAAGTGTTTGAAGTCAACACAAGTGCAGATATCTATCATAAACAATGACTATCCATTCAAATCTTGTTGTGTGATATTGAGTGATACTTGATCACCTTAAACATAATCACATTGATCATGATAACCACTTTCACTAGTAAAACTATTGTCAAAGAAACTCCATGGCCTTTTAAAAAAAAAAAAAAAGCTTTCCGTCGGATAACTACCACAATAAACTGGCATTAATATCAACAACCTCTCAATATTCTACGTAAGGAGTGCAACATAGTTAATCGATTCTGCCATGTATAAATCCAGATACAGCTTGTCCACTGTAACATTAAAAGAAGCTTTAAAGAGAACACTAGCTGATGTCAAGGCGGCAAGTGGAGTCCCCTCATGCAGCCATGTGGATTCATCCGATGCTTCCTGCGCAATCCAACTGGCTGAGATTCGGCTAACGTAAGCTAGCCTAACAACCAAATTGATTCCCGGCAGACCCGAAAGAAACACAATCTTAAGATCTAAATACACGCAATGCGGCTATCCGTCGCTATGGAAGGGTGTAGTTCATCACAATGTCATTTCTCCGTGTGACGCCGTGAGGACTTAAAAACTTAAGAAGTGAAGACAACAATACGTTGTTCGCTAATGCTAGCCTTCTAGCTAGTTAGCATTAGCTACATCGGCTAACACTTCTAATCTACTTCTTTGCTAACTTAGCTAGCAGCTAATAACCTGCTAATAGAGCTGACGTTGGTCATCCCAACGCGTCATGTGTGCCGTTGCACTTCAACAAATAGTGGGTAACTAGTCTAAACGACTCACTGTGCAGTGATTTGACCTGTCAAGTCCGTCTGATTTTGCCAACATATAAGCCAACTCACTAGCATTTCATCTACATGCTAGCAGCGCGTGGAGGCCACGAGCGCTAACAGCAGGCCATGAAATCTCTCTAACAAAACAAAAACAAGAGCTAAGACATAATGGCACCACAATCACCATGACGTCCTCGAAACGGGCCTTAAATACGAACACTTTCGCTGGGTTTACCTGTTTACTCTTGGCGTAAGGTTTAGAGGCGATGTGATATCTCCTGCTTCTAATTTTCCCTCCACCCGTGGCCGCCATGGCTCTTTCGTCTGAGTGTCTATCGGTGTTTCGGCGCCGGATAGCTGTCATCGAGCACAGCGGCCACACACAAAGGAACTCTGGGAAATGTAGTAGTTGAACGTAACAAAGAGGAAAGGTTTGACAGGACGTTGTTCAACATGGCTTTATCATAGGGTTCTTTTTGTGTAATTTGACTGAACAATTTGACATGTTTTTTTTTAAATTCCTTACCCGCCATACTGACGGTCAATTGATTGATCGATTTTTTTCAAATAAATCATGGAATGTTTAAAGGTAGGGTAGGTAATTCACTTCAGAAACACTTTTTGTTATATTGAATGAATACATTAAATGCTTTGACAATAAATACAAATATAATTTTCATCTGTGGAAGGCGTGGCGCTGTAAAAAGCAAGTCCAATTATCTGCCTCGCCCGCGGCAGATAATTGGATGGCCTACCTGCCTGTCAGCCTTCCATCTCGTGCACAAACCCGCACAAACTTATCTCGTGCCCTCATTGGTCATATGCGCGTTCGTGTGTGTTGGAGGGGCTCTGGGAAGTCTGAAGGAAGGGGCAGATTCTTTTCGGTTGTTTACTTTCATATTCTAGCTTAGTCGAGCTGGTTTCTCCCATTACATTACATTGCACTTAGCTGACGCTTTTATCCAAAGCGACTTTGGATAAAAAGTACATTCGATCAGGAAGATACAACCTTGAAGAAAACAGAATCATATAAGTACATCAGGTTTCCCATGGTTTCTCCACTCTTACCTAACCTACCTTTAAGTAGCAAAAATGCAGTCTTTTTAGAAGACAAAACTGGTTAATGTTTGAATAACTTTAGCCAAATTCATGATTGGTTCCTGCATAATGCATCAGGACCCCAGCCATCATCACTATAATGAAACTCAACCTTTGTTCCATGAAATCCAAATATCCCAAAGACCCTATATATTTCAAGGAAAACTGTAATAAATTGAGTATTTTTATAACTACAATTTCTTTATCAATAATGTGTTTATGTTTAAGTATTATTCAGATTCATGCATTTATAGACCATTTTTTTTATTGTCTGTAGAAATATTGTATGTGTCACGTGCTATGGGATGTAAATGTTACGATACGCATTGATTGCGTACTGTTTGTAATTTCATTTTGTGAATAAAAACTATGTGTTCATTTAATAATGTGTTAAAAAAACAAGCAAACCAACCCATATACATTTATAATCAGTACAAATTATGAGTTTATTAGAGGTTATAACAATGTTAACACTTTAAATTAAATACAGTACAGTCAGGCTGACACTTCCAGCTTTGTAGAGAGCCAAAGGACTAAAACCACTTAGACAGAACTACAACAAAAAAGTGTAATTCAAACATAAATACAAATTCAAAAAGATGACAACTAGGAAGTTTGAAAACACACTGATATCAAATATGAAATTTATTGCATAATTTAATGATATTAAAAACAACTTATATTAGCTAGTCACTAACTTTCTGATATTAATATCACATTCATTTGGATCATTAAAAGAATCGATAGCCAGTGAAAAGATAATTTCACAAGTGCGTATCCTCTGCTATTTCATACCACCACAGTGCTTTTACATTAAATGTCACATTATTCTCTTAGCACATCTATCATGAACTTCACCTTCTAATAACAAAGAAACACTAATGTCCACAGTTTCACATCATTTGGAGTTAAAAAGGGTAACTTGAAAACACTACAGTTGGTCTAGTAACACTTGGTTCTACTTCTCATTTAAAGTACACAAAAACATCTCTCCTGATATAAATATAATTGCAGAAAAGCAAACAGTAGTGTATCTACCGCTGCTTTACTGTTTTACAAATCAGTGTTAATTGTGGTTGATTTTAGAAACGATTACATACAAAACACAAATGTATCAAATCCAAAAAGTTAAACAAAAACTCATCACCAAATGAAATTTCTTACAAAACGATGTGCTCTTTAGCTTTCTAGCAAGGCATTACATTGAGTAGACAGTCATGTTAAAAAAATAGTTAAAGAGGTTAGGTGCAAAACAAAACTCTTAGTAAACATTAGTATAAACATTTCCCTGGACTGGACATTACATTTCCCACAGGGCAAAGTGTCCAAACAACGTTTAGTCATTTTAGGTAGAACATGATGTGTGTATGCTAGCCTTCTAGTGTTTTTGGTAATAAAAAAAAAAGGCGTTTTTTTCATTCAAAATCCAGTGCATATTCTTTACTTGATCAAGTCTGGTTGAAATAACTGACATCGAATGCAAGATCAATTACGTGCTTTTCCTTAAGTATTAAGATATGTAAATGCTGCCTAAGCTGTAATTAGTGTTTCACCTTTGACCCGATTGTATAAAGGCTCGCTGGTGGGAATTTGTTCTGGAGTCTGCGTTCTTACCCCTAGGAAGCAACTTTTACAAGATGTTTTCAGTACATTTATTTGCATACTCTATGCTCCTTGTTGGTTGCGTCCTTCACCCTTTCATAGAGGAAGTAAAAGTGATCTTGTTTATTGTTCCTTTCCTCCATGTTCATTCACAAATCTGTTCCTCACAGATGCTTCCCTCAGTTTTGTAGGTTGTAAACTCAATGAATCTCTCTCAGCTATGAAGGGAAACAGACAAAGTATGATTTACATTTGGGATGGAGTTTAAAGAAAAGTTGTCATTAATCTGCCTTTTAAGAGACTAACCTGCTATGCCAACTGGGACGACACCGCACGACTCGTCAACACTGCTGTCATCGTGGTCTTCACTTTGTACAGAAAGGCTCTGTAAACAGAAGGAGGTTTAGAGTGGTCAAAAAGGAGGAACAGCTCTAAAGCAGTGGTTCCCAACCTGGGGCGCGCCAGGCCTCAGATGATTTGTGGCCAAATATCATATTTCATTTTTTTTTTTTACATATAATTGTAACGCAATACATGGTTGTCGCTAAAAGCCTTTTCTATACATTACAATAAAATATAAAAAATAATTGATTAATTAATTTGAATACAAATTCAAGTTAGTAGCTATTATAGGCATAAAAAGACAGAAATGTATAATTTTTTCTTTAATAGAAATGTTTCTTCTGCGCATTAAGTGTCCAAACTGGGCTTGTCTGGATAAGCGCATTTTTAAAAACATAGTCATTGTCCATGCCGGTTTCAGTTGGATTATTTGTCACAGTTGCCTCCGATCAGATCGGTCTCCTCATTTTGTAGTATTATTTACGACT